TTGCTGTGCTGCCTGGGGATGCTCAAATCGCTCCGAGAAAGGAGTACGAATGTACGGCTTCCCCACTGACACAGAGCGGAGGAAAAAATGGCTGGCTCAAGTCAGCAGGAGCAATTTCACGACCAACAGCAAAAAAATATGTGATGTAATTATTAGGGCCGGGACTCGATTAAAAAAAGTAATCTAATTAATTAGAGGCTTTGTAATTAATTAATCGAAATTAATCGCATTTTTAATCACATATAAATATTTGACCTAAGAACAGTGAGAATAATTTTTTTTCACATGGATTTTAGTATACCATTAGGCGCATTCACACCGCAGTACTTTTCCCACAAAGGTTCATGAGAACTTAGTTCATGAGAACTCTTTGAACCTGGGGGTGGATTAGGCAAATGAAGCCGCTGACGTCACTTCTTCTTCTTCTGCTTTGGGTTTACTGGCAGGCCGCAAACCACTTCACGGCGTATACTGCCGCCCAAAGTCCCCGGCCGGAAGTCCCCGGAGTTAGGGACTGGCTTCAGTAGAAGCTGCTGGGAGTCCCAGCAGCTTCTACTGAAGCCTTCCGAGTAAATCGCCAGAACGCCGACACCTCCTCATCTCCACCGCTCCTATGTTTTATTTTGTGTTGCCATAAGTTAGTCTCTCTGCGTTTCTGCGCTGGGCTAATGCTAATAATGCTAATGCGAGGATAATAAAATGGCGGCTTCACAAAACTTTTTGCGAGTTTTACGGGGCGTGGTTTGCAATCCGCCCAGCCAATCAGAAATATAGCTCTTTTCTCACAAGAGAGCCGTACGAAAGTCCCTGCTCTCTAGCAGCTCTCTGCTCTCTAGCAGGGACTTTCGTGGGGGTAAAAAGGTTCTCATGAACTAATTTTAGTACCGGCCCTTTTTGGTGTGAACGCGATAAAAGAGGCTAACGTTCAGCTAGCTGCTATATGTTTTGCATTGAGGTGATACTTGAGGCTTGATGTGCTGCGGTGATATGCGAATTCCTTTTTGCATAATTTGCACACAACCGTGCTCTTATCAACGCTTCCATTCGTCCGTTTTTTAAAACAACATTTCCCACTGTTGTTCACTGTGGTTTGTTGTTGTCTGAAGTCATGAACGTTAGTTGGTGCTCCAGTATAATCGGTACGCCTGAAACTCATCCAGTGAGAAACGTTCCGCGGTGCAAACATAAGTGCGATTAAAATGCGTTAATTTTTTTAACGCGTTAATTTTTGTGTAATTAATTCATCTTAATTAACGCGTTAAAGTCCCGGCCCTAGTAATTATATACAAACACTGCATTTGCACTTTTTCACAAAACGAAAACCACACCATTGGGAAAGCTTAATGTTTTGTTTAATACAAAAAAACAGGGAAAGGCTTGAAAAACACAGAGTTGAGACTCAGGGTGCAGGGTGAGGGTCTCAGTGCAGGTATTCAGGCTCCATTGAATCCCCCTCTGGTTCTTGTGCTGAAAGAGGGAGTAACAGACAGGAAAAAGGGTTATACACAGGGCTGCACATAACTGGTGCGCATGCGCACCTCCGCCAAAAAAAGAGCACCGGGTCATTTGAAACAAAGCGCATTTGCGTACCAACATTGAGAGAGGGAGAGAGAGAAGGGAGAGAGAGAGAGAGCGAGAGAGCGAGAGAGAGCGAGAGAGAGAGAGAGAGAGAGAGAGAGAGAGAGAGAGAGAGAGAGAGAGAGAGAGAGAAAGATATTTGCGAGTTGCATATGACTCCCAGTTCTGGGAGGGAAAAAAACATTTTGACCGTTGGGGCTCATCCTAATTTTCGGCCTTGATGTAACAATATTCATAATTAAGTCAATGTAACACCCTTTTCACCCCGATTACACGTTTAATTTGCCCTGTACGATGGGCGCTGTAAATGATGAAAATGGGGGATGTTGGCTTATCTGGCGCCCGCAGCTCACAGCCAAAATGCGAGGGAGAGAGGGAGAGAGAGAAGGGCGCACCGCCCGGTACCGGCGCTGTTGTTATTAGAATCTGGTGCCGTGCTAGCTGCTCTAACGGATATAAGAAGAAGATGTTTCTACAATAATGTGGAGGGAGAGTCCTCTCCAGTCAGACTGAGAGGCAGATACTACAGCTCAGTGAGGTAAGGACTCTTAGTCTAAGTTCAAACGGTTTGGTCACAATTTATGTAAACACATATTTCCAAGGCACCTTTATAATTATTGGGATAAACAGGTTTCAAATAATTCCAATGTATAAGACAGTAACCAAAAATATCCTTTAAAACTGGAGAGATAAAAAAAAAAGCATAAATAAATATATATAGATATTTGGTGATTTATATCAATAGAGGTATTTAAACTAATGTGTTTAAGGTAAAGTGTCATTGTGCTCAACACATTTAAATATACATTTCTTTTATATGTCACTCAGCTAAATTGTTCAGTGTGTATATGTTATAGTAGAGTAGACATAATCTAATACTAGCAAAGTTACAGTACTTAAAGGTGCTTAAAGGGACTCAAGATAACACAAAGGGTACATTGGTAAAATATAAACAGGATAATTTAAGAGAAATAAGACAACATTACCTTATGTATTCTTCATTGTAAATTAGATTTATTGAGTTAACGAACTCAGGGCCCTTCCCTGATTAAACCAGGGAATAACTGGGCTACACTGGCAATTTGTGAACCACAAGTTCAGCTATGAGTCTGTTGGGTGGCTCACTGACCGTTGCCGTAAGGAAACCAGAAAATCAAGAGACCGGTGAGCCAATCCATGCTGTCATCATAGATGCCTAAGATGCAAGCCGTTAAGCTAGCAAGTCCCACCACTCTGGATAAACAAACTGTGTTGTTCAGTCCTCCTCCTAGACAACTGGAGCCATTACCAGCCACCACAGAAACCCAAGGCTCTCTCCTTATTAAAGATTGCCTTCATCCACGGCCGTTTTCATAAGCCTCTCTCTTCTCTCCCGCCTCGTCTCCATCCCTTCCTCCCTTTCTCCTCCAATCTCATTCTTTGTGGGTTTTGGGTTTGGCGAGTGCTAGGCGTCACAAATATTGAGGCCCACTCTTTCTTTCACCCTCTCTCGATTTTTCTTTTTCTAACTAACCCCCTCTTCCTCCTCTTTCCCTCCTTCCTTCACTCCCTTTCTCGGTACTGGGCGTTCATGCTTAAAAAGAGGGGGGGCTTGCCAAAAGCGCGTGTCAGGGAAAAACAATGAGGGAAGGTTTGTTTGAGAAAAAGCACAGGAAGCCAAGATGTATAAACTTCAACGGACCTGTACCCCGGTAAAAAGTGTGAGCCAGCCAGAGGAGAGTGTGGTTTGTGGGTGCGGCCCAACAGGCTTTCTACCAGGAACAGAGTGATTTACCTCACACAGACAGAACCCGCTGAACTGAACACACACACAAACATTCACACATACACTCACCAGAAGAATAATACACACACATTGGAATTCCAAATTCTCCATTTCTGTTTGTTCTCTGACTAGATTTCATTAAAAAAAAAAAGTGTTTCCATGTATCTAAGTGCCTTCGACATGATATATATCCGCAGATACTTAATGGAAACCTGTCGGGATAGATGAGGGCGAAAGGGAAACACACACGCTTTTTACGACTAGTGTTTGAGTGTGGGAGGACAGATGGACCCCTGTAGATGTCAATGAAGGAGGTCTGAATAAGCCTTTGTTGATAACGGTGATGGACGATGTTCTCAGGCTCATGAAGTCGTAGATGGTATCTCTTTTATTCGAGACTAAAGAAGGGTCTGGGGGAGATGGGCAAAGCACCACACTCCATTCATCAAGTGAGGAGAAGAAGAAATAATAAAACAGAAAGAGATGGCAGTGTTTGAACATAAGCTGTGTATGGCAAGTGCTGCTCCTTACATGGGGCTTTCCAAAGGCCTTTCAACAGAGCAACATGAAACACATGGTGGAAATGGGAGTCAGGATGACAACAAGAGTAATTATTGGCATGGTTGGAGTCAAAAAGTCACGAGGGAGTGCAGTCTGTGTAACTGGCATATCCTCTTGCTCTGTGTATGAATCATTAAGAAGAGTTTACAGAGAAATTTCAACTCCAGTTCTTACAGATGGTCTTTTTATTAGAGCTCTTGTACAAACTCACAATATAAACCTGCTAAAAGGACACACCGTGTTTTTGATCTGCCTGCTGCTCCTGCTTGCGTGCCGGGTATGGTGGCTCCACGTCAAGCATGTCTTCATATTGTAAACAGATGGCAAAGCGCTGACCTCTCTTGTAGAGGCAACCAAAACCAAGAGGCAGAAACTATTCATCCTCTGTGAGGAGGAAACTTTTCAGTAAAAAATGCTTCATGAAAAATGCAGCTTTAAAAAAAACAAAATCTGCTCGTGTTTCTTCATACTGCGCTACATGAGTTTGACTGACAGCTCAGCAACTCTGTGTGCCATTGACATTTGGCACTAACACAGGAAAGGTCAGTAGGGAGAGTTTAAGGGGACAAAGTGCCATCATTGAGGAAACATGTTCCAAGACGGCATGCTGTTGGATCATATGTCTTTTCCTCAAATGTAAAGGTCCTCTATTATACTGTTTTTCTTCAATATATTATAGGTCTCTAGGAGGAGATTCAGGTGATAAGGTGGGCGGGTGTTACCGTGGTTGGTTATTGGCTAATGGTTACACAAGCCAAAAAATCGTTATGACATCATAAAATGGCCAAAGTCTGATCAGCTAATTTTCAGACAGGTTTTTATATAAATGGATTAGGACAAAAAATGAGCGAATCTTTTTTCCTGAAACTTTCAGAATCTCTTTACACAGAGGGGACACATGGTTATGTATAAAATACATGAAAAAGTGGATTTTGCATAATAGGTGACCTTTAAATCAAATGTGAATTGGCTTGTATGGAGCAACCAAACTGACAAAAAGTAGTTATTACCGGTAATCAAAATAACAATTATAAAATATCATTCAATATATCAATTAATAATATTGTTATTGAAAGAACTAATCAAGACAAGAGGCATGCATCTGAAGAAGATCATTTTATGAAGACACAAGCATGTTATCAAGTTTCACCAGTGAGCTAACATAGCAATATGATCTCAGAGAAATATGTGAAGTGACTGCAACGAAAAACCGCAAAGAAAAGCATGTCCCCCAGCTTAATATCCTCTTAATGTGACACATTAAGGAGACCTCTCAATGGATTATGTGTTAGATGCAATGTTCTTTCCCCAGTTTAAATGTGTATGTTTCCCTGGGTCATTTATGTTGAACACAATCACCCACCTAGAGTAAAGAGGTTATACTCCTTTACGTATACACACACCCAAAAACGTTCGCCCTCAAATTGCTGACGGACAGACATTGACGTCTCCACAGTGGCAGAACTTGTTAACAATTCAAACAGCAGCCCTTTAGATTTAAAATATCGGTACCACTTTACAATAAGACTACCCTTATAAAGGGTTTACAAATAGTTTGTAATTCATTTATTAATTAGGTTGTGAACACTTTATAAATCATTAATAAGCTTTTATAAGACATGAGATAAACAGGGCACATGTGACCGGTGGCTTGCCAAATAGTGAGCCCACATTTATCTACTGCTAAGTCTTATTGAAAATGGTAGTAACTCATTAATAAATGAGAATGTGTTTTACACTTTACAATAAGGTTCCCTTTTGGCAGTTATAAATGTTAGTAACTCGTAAATAAATGGTCATAAAGAGATGCCAAGAAACATCAAGATGGATGGGCGGAATCAACTCAGTGAACAACAGATACCAAGGATGATGGCTGATGAAGAAGACGAAGTAAGCTAGGTAGCCAATATAAGACTTAGTCATCTTGCCAAATAGTGAGCCTGTGTTGATGCATGAAAACTATGTTAGAACTGGTTTATAAATGGTTCTTAATGATTAATAAACTGTTTACAACCTAATTCACAACCTAATTATAAACCCTTTATGAATCCTTTATAAGGGTAGTCTTATTGTAAAGTGGTACCAAAATCTCTTACAAGAGGACCCTGGGAAAAAAAGGAGTTTTACTTTGTAACTTTGCTAGCGTAAGCTGGCCAACTAAAATACTTTAGTTAGCCTATTGGGTTTACACAGTAGCCATACAGCAATACAAAACAGTATATTACTGATACACATGCACTGTCTGGTGTAATGTTATGATAAACTTTAGCTCTAGGCCTAGTGAGTTAAGTTACCAGTGTTTACTGTTATTAAGCTAACCGCTAACCCATCCACTCGATTGCTACACACACAATAATTCTGCACCAATCATTAGTAAGCTTCCATACTTTGTTATCATTACAAGCATAAGAGGGTTGAACATTGAAAACATGTTGATGAACATAGGAAAAGTTGAGAAATGATTGAATGTGTCAATAAAAAAGTAGGAACATTATAAAAAAAGAGATTAAGTAAATAAGCCTATCTTTTGGATTGTTATTCAAATATATATTTCATTATGGAGCACGGTTAACTGTAGGCAAGCTAACTAAGAGAGCCTAGGATATACTTATGGGGAGGAAATGCCTTGAGGAAAGTGAAAGAGTTATTTGTAATGAATTCTTTCCATGAAGGGAATTTCCACAGGCTGGTGGGTTACTATTAGACTTGTTTAAATGGTATATCTTTAATGTCAAAGGAATGTTTGTACCCCCATTCCCTTTTATCTACACAACCCTGCTTATGAGAAACACCCATGTATTGCATCAACTTTAATACCAAATCTGATTACTAAATGGATTATGGTTAAATGACTATGTGACCAAAGATTTGATTCTCTGTGGCTACATTTCCAGTAAAGATACAGTCATTGAACAGTCTTCTTCATGTTTTTATTTGTTGAATTGTGTATCTGTGTGTCTATTCACTGAATTATCTTTTGTACTTATTACATTTTAACTGTCTTTTTCATTTGATTGTGTTGTATTCTTTGTATTTTGAGAAGGTGATCTATAAATAAATCACATGACTTAACTTGAGTAATAGCTAGACTGTTTGTTTACATGTGTGCCAGTTTATTTTAGTCTCTATGAGGTAATGTGACCAGGTGTTGTCTTATAGCTTTGAAGGATGAGGTAAGTATATCGGGATAATTAAAGGACCCCGTGTATGTATGTATGTGTGGCAGTATGATCACTCTCTGTCTGGTCTGAGTCCTTGTTTAGATGTCTGCAGCATGGGTGTGAGTGTTCCTATCTTGGAATGCGTATGACTAAACCTGCATTGTGCCATGGCTGGTGCTGCAGTGATAGACACGCACAGCAGTGTCTGACACACCTGTTCTCACCACGTCACCTGCTGAAGTGTCTGGTTTTGATTCTACCCTTTTATGAGGGGCGAACTCAAGAAAAATATACAGTATGCCTGTACGCATCCTCATTATGAGGTAACTACATATGACTCAAAGACCCTCCTGGATGTGTGCATTTAGATTATATGAAAACATCATAGGTTTGATAGCTAGTGTGCCTTTACTGTATGATTTAATGTTTGCGTCTACAGGAAACTCCTGGAGTAATAACTCACACAAAGTGATGACAGGAGCTGCTGCGATGCCCAGTGCAGATACACCATCCCAGCTAAAGTGACACCGCTCACAGCTGCCCCTTCTTACAGGAACAACCGCACCAAACCGTTCAACTGCCAAGCCCTTATCATCGGCCCTGATGTACAAATGTGTGTGTGAGTAACGTGACCACTGGTAGAAGATAAAGTGAAGGATTTCGTTTAAAGAATTGCATCAAATGAAAAGGGGTAGAAGGTAGATATATTTGTGGCTTTCATTTCCATAATGCAGACCATTAATAATTTCCACACAGTGTGAATGTTCCTTTAAAAAATAATAGTCTTTGTTTTATTCAGTTACTTACGAATGATGACATCAGATGACAAATAATCATCTTGAATGTATTAAAGCTGTGGCGGTTCTGTGGATCATACCTCATGTAATAAAATATCTGTTTCATTAAATGTGGTTGAAAGCAGAATGTAATAAGAGTAAGAGTTTGGTGCCAATTTGAACTAGATGACTTTCCCTGAGTTTGATTTGACCCAGTTGGGCAATCCCTCTTCTTGTCTTTCACTCTCTCCTATCCATCTCCCTATAAATCTGTCAAGTCATAATCCTCCTCTAGCCTGCACAAATGCCTGTAATTTAAAAAATAATGAAGGCTTTGTTTAAGTTTGCTTAAGCACTGCTTAAATCATCCCAGCTCTCTTACAGCTTGAAGATGAATCTTCCCACATGTATTCAATAGCAGCAGAGCTCTTGGTACAAACACCGACATCAGAGATCTCATTCAGTAGCTCGTACAAGCTCTGTTTGCACTGAAGAGTATCCAGAACTTTAAACTATTTAAAACATTTTGACATTCCTAAAAACCGATTGAGTCACAGAAGGTGCTTGAACAGTTTTAAGTACTTTAAAAAAATGAATTCATTAGAGAAACAAGCTAAGAACTAAAGATGACCAGTGTGAATCAGGTGCCAAATCCTGTATTAATTAATTAGTCATTTTCAACTGCAACATACCTTTCCCGTACCCTTTATGCGCTATTATACAATGGAAGAATGTGTGTGTGTGTGTGTGTGTGTGTGTGTGTGTGTGTGTGTGTGTGTGTGTGTGTGTGTGTGTGTGTGTGTGTGTGTGTGTGTGTGTGTGTGTGTGTGTGTGTGTGTGTGTACACTACAGAGACTCATTCAAGACTGGTCCACAGCGTGTCCTGAGTTGTCCCTTTATCTCTTCTGTGCAAAGAAAAAGCGGTGAGCTCCAGATTATAACAGCACCCAGGCAGGAGACGGCAACCCAAACATGTGCTTTACACATTCATGCAAAGAAAAACATACCACAAGATCCACATATCAGATCCTATACTTTGGAAAACAAAATAAAACAATTTACTATACACCACTTTAAGTATAATGGTTAGGAACAAATATGGCTCTTTTAAAAAGCACATGATTTACAAAAAACAATATTTAGTGATATGGCTGTTCATTACCTATTGAAAAATACAAAGTGCATTTTAACTATTTCAAGTGTGGTGTCCATCTTTGGAGAAGACAACAAAATGTAAGGACATATTTTTCATTGTAAATGGTGGCTGACTTCAAGTTAAGCAACAACTAAATAAAAAATAATAATATATTTGAGCCACAAACAAAAGGGGTTCGTTTCTCGTGCTGTTTTGGGCCATTTAAGTCTGGGAGCAACACTGATGACCTTGTTTAGACTGACTATTGTGTGTAGACACACATAACATAAAAGTAGTGCTTGTGTTTTGTTTGGTCATGAAGGGGAGATCATTGGAGAGACAGGAGTGGAAAAGAAGAATGTGAAAAAGAGAAATACGCACGGAAAAGCAGAAATTATGAACTAAGTCTTGACCTGTCTGATAGAAGTATAACGCTTTGCTGCTTGGAAGTTGTAACAAAAAAAAGAAGGTAAGAATTCAAATATAGTTAACAAAATGAAACAATACGTAACAGAAAGTCAGGAACACGTAAACCCTGATGCCACATGTGGAATGTGTTTTGTTCTCTTTAAAGTTACATTATTATTTTTGCTGTAGATTGTACATCCTTTGAAGACAGGAAAGCAAAGCACAAACTTCTGACTCTTCTGAAGTTCCTCCAGTAATCTGTTTGGTTCAGTCTATTGTCATCATCCTGTCTGCACTTTTGGAACCTACAGTATAAGGCCAGACTTGTAGTTGATTTTTTTTTGCAGACTGTGGAGTGTGTTTAAAGACAGAGGCTCGTAAAAAAAAACAACATATTCCATTGGACACTCAATCGATGAGAATAAGAGACCGTGTGAAACAGAGATGCTCACTTTTAGTGATCTTGAATACAATTTGACGTGGTAATTTAAGAAAGGTTAGTGGTCAACTAACTCCTGCACAACGTAGGACTGAGAGGTAGTGTGTGTGTCTGTATACCCTGTTGTGTGCCCATACTCAAGTTTTATTTAATTAAACAACCTCTAAATGTAAAAGCAAACGGACGTGACATGTTCTGAATGCTCATCATTCATTTTGAGATATATTGTTGAAGTATAAATACAATTTATAGCTGCAATGAAAAGTTGTACCCGGATCATGTGGAGTGAAACAGAGTCCAGTTTGTCAACGATTTAACACCCCTCGGTTTTTGACTAACGGTTCCACTGGGGCCAAGTCTGGATCACGCAAGGTCAATTACAGTCACTGTTAAAGCCATAATTCACACGTACACACTAGCACACTAGCACACACACACACAGACACAGACACACACACACACACAGACACAGACACAGACACACACAGACACAGACACAGACACACACACACACACACACACACACACACACACACACACACACACACACATATACACACACACACACACACACACACACACACACACACACACACAGGCAGGAAGTGTTAATCAATTCTATTTTAAAGCACCACATCAAAATGCATTTACACAGTGACACACACACATTAACACACAACACACAGCAAGCAAGAAAGAGAAAGGAGAGAGAGAGAGAGAGAGAGAGAGAGAGAGAGAGAGAGAGAGAGAGAGGAGAGAGAGAGAGAGGGAGAGAGAGAGGGAGAGAGAGAGAGAGAGAGAGAGAGAGAGAGCGAGAGAGAGAGAGAGGAAGCCTGGAGCTGCTCTCTCTCTCCCTGAGGAGCCAATCAATCATTCTGCTGCCATGCCAACAGGAAGAGGCCTGCTGTTGGCTCACAGAATGGCTCAAAATGCAGACGTTTCCCTGGTAACCACTTTGATTGACGGGTATGTTTTCTGATTATATTGTTCTTTTAAAAGTGAAAAATAAATAATTAAGGGCTGGATTTACAGAACAAGCCATTTAATTTGATAACTCTTTTCCAATGAAAGCTAGCATTAGTTCCAAAAGTAGTACAAAGTTAAAAAGCTAATTTCCATAATTGGCCAAGTCATCCCATATTTATTAGCATACAGCTTTGTGGTTGTGTTGGTTGCAGGCCTGCATATGGCACAAGAGGAGAGGGAGAGCCAATGGATTACTCTGTGCAGCCTTGGGAAAAACTACGATATAATGTATTTGAATATAATTAGCTTTTCTTCTGATGGTCTGAATAAGTATTGTTTGTCGCTTGACTAAAAACACAAAAATGAACACAATGAGCCAGACTATTCCACATAGCAAATAATTCAACTTTTAAAAGGAGATTAACGATATATTTGTGACCTGCTTTTAAAGATTTATCTGCAGTAAGACTTTGGGCTGGTTGTCAAAGACATTGTAGACTAGAAAGACTAAAGCATTGTGAGTTTTTTTCTATTTATTGGATTTCTTGACAATATTACATATCTAGATTATCATTTCAAATCCTTTAATGTGACTTAACCGACCAACATACATAACAAAGGTCTATCTCCCTTCAAATTATCATTTTTATCTGTGTGCACATGCATTCAACTCTTATCCACAATTCCACTTTTTTTTTTTATTTAACCAAATTTAGACATAAATAACCACAATTTGAATAGACCTACGACTGCCTTGTTGTGTTTGGATTTGTTGACATGATTCGTTTAACCTCCATGACAGCCAAAGTCTTTGACCTCTGCTCGCAGTCTTTCTCTATCTGGTGTCAAAGGTCAACAGTCAGTGGTCAACTCTGTCTATCACAGGGCAGACGGTAGTCGCTCAGACCACAGACTGATACCACTCAACCAAATCCAGACCTCAAGCTAAAACAAACACTATCACTGCTGCCCGCTGTGCAGCTTTTAATGCTGTGTGTGAAAAAGGTCATTAATTGCCCACAACTCAACACAACCTTGAGCTCAAGGGAGACTCCTAAAGAGTTCCTTTATTTATATGTGTGAGTGTGGCACATATTAGAGAAAGTGCCCTACAAGCATTATGGGATATTGACTAATAAGAAGCTGTAACAATGCCAGGTCCCAGACTGCTGTGTTTACTCACATTGATGGTAAGTTTCCCTTTTGTCTGGCTGAGTAACAAACCTTCCCACACAGATCAAGCATGAAAGGGCATGGGGGCACTTCTATTTTCTTTACCTGTTTCTAATTAGTTACTCTCAGACATGTGTGAGTCATCTGAGAGGGAGTCATGGAGAAGCTTGCACAATGCTGCGCATATACACAACTGCAGGTACACACACGTATATAAACACATACATTCCCACACGAACAGTGATAAAAACATTAAGAAGACATGAAATGGAACTCAGTTTCAGTGGTTCAGACATGTCCTCTTGTCAATACGTCAGCAGGATGGCACCAACTCAAAATGTTGTTTTAACATCTAAAGAAGGTCTATGTTCTCATAAAGCTTGGCACAAAGGAAAAGGAAAGTTTGGGTTTTAACTGCTGGCAATTGCTGGCACTGGGCTGCATTGTTCAAAACATTAAAGCTAATGTTGTGGCATGAAACATTCAAACTGCACTTTCTTAAAAATATCCATCTGACATCCAACTAACTGAGCAGATTGTTCAAAGGGAGGGCAGTAAAACAAGTGAAATCAAATGAAACAGCTGCCGTCAATCAACCCATGTCCTAATAAAGAACACGATAACTGATGATGTACTTAGTAAAGCCAGGAACAACATTAAAAAGGGGAACTCAATGTGCATGAAGGCAGTGATGAATCAATCAGACACCCACTATTCGACATTCTACAATCTACTTTGCAACCCCTAGCATATTTGACTTTATACAAACATATGTATTTCTACAATTCTACAAAGTTCTTGGCCTTATGAACCCTTTCAAGCCCAAGAAAAGGATGTTGTTAAGATTATAATGAAACAAAAAAAGGAACTTACATAATTAGGAAATCTACAAAAATAAATAAAAAGCAGAAAACGTGTCAATACTGTAGCTTGCATAACCAAAATACATAAATTAATTTTTTCTCAAACTGCTGGCAACTGCAGTGTTTTGCAAGTTCCTCAAACATTAATACTTGTTTTTGGGGGGGGGGCTATTTTTACATGCGGATAATTACATACAAAGTTGGTATTTACAACTGCAGGATTGCGTGAATGTAGATTTGACTCAAAATAAATGTCAGTGCCCATGGTCATTCTAATGGAGGTCTGTGGCGCAAAAATACAAGTTATTTTTATACTATAGCTACACAGACAATAACATCTAGTTTAACAATGTCATAACTTGGTAATGATATTTTCCAAGTGACTAAAGACAAGGCTCAAATCAGTTGTAATAGGCAAGCTGGGAATTGTTTATTAGGTAAAAAGAATAATGGGATGGGAGTGATTGTACGGCACCCAGAGGAATGCTGGGAAATGTTGTGTTTTTGCGTGCTGTGCCTGTCCTTGGAAACATACACCGGAACAAAGCGATACACTTACACATGTCGGACTCTGGGGAGATTCAGATGGATCGCTCTATCACTGCAAAAATGTCCACACGTGCTGGTGTCCATGGCCTCTGGGTGTGCTATATATGTTGGAAGAATGTATGTGTGTATGTATGTGTGTGTGTGTGTGTGTGTGTGTGTGTGTGTGTGTGTGTGTGTGTGTGTGTGTGTGTGTGTGTGTGTGTGTGTGTGTGTGTGTGTGTGTGTGTGTGTGTGTTGCAATATGCATGTCTGTCTTAAGAATTGTATTATGTTGTGAGGGGCTTAAGGAAGTATGAGTGTGCATGCAGAGTTGTTTGAGTTATTGTACTGCTTAGTCTTTGGGGAACGAGGAGAGTAATCTGAAGGAACAGCTAGGGGCCACTTCATACTCAAGTCAAGCGTGTAACAACTAACAACCTCCACCCACCACACCCCTACACACACACTTACACACACAAACACACCTGCACCATACCAGGACTATAGGGCCATGATATAGTAAATGCTCCAAAACTACAGACTTCCCGGACACACAGGTAAACTGTCCCTGGACACTTATCATGCGCAGGTGTGCAAGTGAGAGAGAGTGCATATGAAAGTGTAATAGTGTTTCATTATGTGGATTTAGAGTATATAAAGTAGAATAATCTATATGCCAGTGAGTTGACTCCCAGAACTCCCTATAAAATAAAAAACTAGACATGAAAGTGCCCCATTTACTTTTTATGACCACGGAAAGAACCCTTGCAGCCAGATCCAGGTGGGGGGGTTTGTATATTATCCTAAAATGCTACTTAAGAGTTGCTTAATCCCTAAAGAACAGATCATTATGAGACACTGAAGGAACAATAAGAAAATATAAAAAATATATATGGTGCCGTAGTACTTTACAAGAGGGTACCGAAGCCTATAAATTACGTCTCAAATATGAACACAATATTCCTCTGAGGTTTTAGAACTCTGTAAAGGGAATATGTGGTTAATAGTTTAGTTTTTTGTTAGGACAACTTCCTTTCTCTCCAAGGGGATGTCAAGGACAGAGGGGAACATAAAACAGACCGCCTGATTTCTTCACCTGCCGCTAGTCATAACATCACTTCTCTATCTTTAGGGGACAGTCAAACAAAACAGTTTTCTGCTGCCAGCCTCCATAGATTTGTTATCTAGCGTTGTCTTCATCTAGAGCAAACATAAACATGGCACAACATGCATTCACTGTAGTGTGGTATTGCAAAGTTTGAAGCTTAACACTGAATGGGACTATCTGAAATGTTGTATTGCATTCTGATTTTTTTAACTTTGCAGAACTGCTTCCTTAACCATGGGCATAACTTTGAAAAGCACTGTTGAAAGTGAAAATAAAGAGGACCATGGCACTAAATGTTGTATGCTAATAAGAATAAAACTATAGGTTACTTACGTAACCCCAGTTCTCAGAGTAACATGAAGTGAGATGTCTCACTATGGGATGCGCCTCATCGCGGAGCAAACAGAAGCATCAATCTCATTACGCCAATCCTGATTGGCTGGTGATCTTGACGTCAGCGTCAGGGAATTCACCCCCTATAAGTAGCTTGCGCCACGACGCATGCGTCATTCAAAATAAGCACCTCTTCTCGCTTCACCATAGCAAGGAGGGCCGTCTGGTGAGACATCTCACTTCATGTTACTCTGAGAACTGGGGTTACGTAAGTAACCTATAGTTCTCATTCATAACACTCCGTTCGATGTCTCACTATGGGAAATTGTAGCTCCCATATTGTCAGACGAGCTTATCTCGAAAATCACCAAACCAACCAGAACTTAACAGGTAGAGCTCTGACTCAACCAGGTGCCCAGCACTGCTTGAGTCACACTGGGAGCAGAACGTCCAGCCTGTTAAGAGGCGGACAAAAGTGAGCGGCGAGGACCAGCTCGCCGCTGCACCAATGTCTTGGATGGGAGACATCCTGGACAGAGCCCAGGATGCAGCCAGACCCTGAGTCGAAAGAGCTCGCGGACCCGAGGGTGCCTGCAAACTCTGACTCGTGAGCCCCAAAGCAATTGCTTCCACAAACCAGTGGGAGAGCCGTTGCTTAGTAACAGGCTTGCCCTTATAAGGGTTAGCCCAGGACACAAGGGGTTGGTCATTATGACGAAGCACCCTTGATCTGTCCCTGTACGTGCGTAAAGCACGGGCTGGACACGGCAAATCCGGCCGCTGTTCCC